AAACCCTCCGACCCCGACGAGAAAAAGGTGAACAGACCTCTTTGGAGAATATGGTGCGTAGCAAGTTCATGTTGGTGGCCATACGAAGCACAAATGGTGGGAAGAGGTTCAGTCGGACTGATGGCTCGTTCCCTCAAGACCGTCTCGATCACAGCATCAGGCGCAACCCTGGCCTTCTTGGCAGGCGGAAGAGTTCCACGACTGCCGTACAGTCGCTGCAGCTCATCAGAAAGGAGTAGTCCATCTCGCACTTCCTGAGGAAGGGGGAAGTCATACAAGTCGGAGGACCATGGACACAAGTGTGCAGCTTCCAAGTGGAAATGCTCATCGATGACATTAGGGCTCATGTCAACTCTGGCCCATGCAGACAGCCACCTACATCTCATGTTGTGGGACAATGGATGATACTCGACTAGCTGTTGCCAGATCCTGCGATAACCGCCGAGTTTCAAAAGGTGAGAGATCAATCCAAAGTGTGGATGCTTAGTGATCTCGTCAGCGCATTCAAAGACTTGGACGTTTGGCTGCAGAACAATTGTGAGAAACACAGCTTCGATGAACGAATAACCGGCAGCGGAATTGAGACCTTGGGCCCTACCAGCTCTACTCCATGCAATACATGGGGGTGATGCTGTGCCGACAAGATTGAGGCGAACACGGACTTGATGACAAACGGTGCAATCGTTCACCGAGGTGCATATCCCTACATGGGAGCTAGGACTCCATGGATACTCGGGATTGGTCGGTCCAAAATGCACCGGCTTCTCAAACTGACTAGCCCAGTTCTGCATAGTGCGAGGGTCGCTATCAACATAGATCTGCTGGGAAACATGAGGGACGTGTTCAGTCTTCCCAATTGCCTCCAAAGCTTGAGACCACCCGCAGAACGAACCTGAAAACAGGTGCACCGCAGAAATTGGTCTTCTAGGATTCCACAAAGGAACATTCGTGATGATCGTGTCACGTGGCATTACGAATCGAGTGGGGCAGCTCTGGACAATGCTCCCATATAGCGACACGATGTCTCCATGCTGATAATGCAAATCTCTCATGGTCAGGTCCTGCACCGCAATCTCCCACACTTCACCTCCCGAAGGAAGGAAACCTTTCCCTGGGGAAAAGCTTCTGGGTCGAACCCACATAGAAGATCCCTCGATACCACACAACTCTCCCTGAAAAAGCACTTTCCCAGCAATGCGAACGAAGGAGCCAGCACTACCAAAGGAAATAAAAAGCTCCTCAAGAGCATGCTTCCAGGGATCATCAATCTTCGACCTAATCATATCAATCAACAAGGAACTCATGTCGTCACAGAACCAAAAGAAGTCACACCACGGCAAACTCCACAGAGACCGAGCTGCAGGACTGAAAGCAGTCCTGCTTAGTCGACGATGCCCCCGCCTTCCGAGGGCGGCAAACACCCCTAGGTGGCCCGACACCTTCAGCCACACGGCTTTGAGCCTAGATGGCTAGGTAGTCTATTCTGTTCATTCTTGGTGGTCAACCAGGGTGTCCCGGTTTTGACCCACAGCCATATCATATCATCACAAGGTACTTTTTGTGGGCGGTCTTGTTTTCTACGGTGAGTGATGTGAAAAGTTTATCACAAAAAAGGTGTCGGAGACTTGCTCTCAAAGTTTTACACATCCCAAGACCGCCGTTTTCTGGTGCTGCCTCTCGTGTGTTTTATCCAGCATAACCTTGAAGGCCCGAGAAGAAACATTGGAAAAGACCGGAATTTGGCTTTGTCGTTTGGCATTTGTCATGGCACTAACTAGTACACCTGACTCTGACTCACAATGCTGTTCAACCATGTGTTGCAATTTGGCGAGGAGTTCATGCTGTAAGACCAAACAGGTTCGTGCATTAACTCATGTCACGTGGTTAATCTAATTAACTTCTCAGCCATGTGCGGCTTCGTTCTGACACGGACAACATGACTCAACATGACGAGGCCGAGGCCGGTTCTTCTGCTTCTTAAACTTCCGCGCCACCCGCAGGTCACGCTTCTCCCTGTCAAGAGAAAACACAACCGAAAAGGCCTCATCAGGCGAGAAAGAGGTGAACATATCAGGTCTACTCGTAGTTGTAAGGATATCGGAAGACTGATCATATTCTTGGATTGGTCCATATTCTATCTACTCCAGGAATCTCCAGGATGATTCTAGTTTGGGGGCAACTCTTGGGACCCCTCAAAACCAGATCGCTCGACTGTGATTCCTTCCGGGCTTTTTCCCGAACATCAAAAATGACCAAACCCAGGTTGGAGCCCTTTTTGTGGTTGACTCAGGTCTTTGGTTCCGAGTTTCTTTGCTTGTTTTTCCCCACAGCTTTTTTCTGTTGCTCCATGCAGTTGTGCTCCACTCTTCATGTCGTGTCCGTACCGCACGGTCGCTTCCTGTCGCCATTCTTCAGGAGGGCTAGGTCTGCATCCACCAGGCGGTCGTTTCGCATTTTTTGGGCAGTCGGATCCCGTGCTGACTCACCGGGGCAGGGCCGACCCGACCGCGCGTAGATCGATCCGGTGAGAGTTTTTGACGAAAAGCGTTTGTGAGATCTGCCGACCGGATGGTGTAGCAAGTCGAATGCGTGTGTAGCCGTAACCCAAGAAGTAGCTTGTTGCTTCCCACAGGCCTCTTCTTTGCGTGGGTTCCCAGATCCCTGAGTTGGAGTGGAATTGGGAACTGCACGTAGGGAGTGGTTTCACTACGACACGATGACGAACACATCGCACAGTTATGTGGACACCACCCTGTTCTGTAAAGAAAACTCGTCTTCCCACAGAGCATGTTCCACTTCCATGTTATATAGTGAGTCAGAGTGTAAACCTTAGCAAACTCAGAAGAGGTGGGCATGAAAAGAAGGGTGAATCTCTTCGGAAACTGAGGATGTGGGTCGGATGAGCAAAGGGAAGGCCTTTCAGGGTATGAACCAGAGCAGAATCCTTCACAGGGCCTTGGTTCTTTGATGTGACAGTTTTGGGGCTAAGAAGTGGCTTTTCAGCATCCAGGGTCCTGAACTCTTTCTGAATGAGCTGTGTAGGAAGCTCCCTTCTAAAACAAGCACCCCTGCTCCCTCTCCACCAAAATGCAGCGCAGGAACCTGGACCATTTGCATGACAACCCTAGACTGTGCATGGCGATCACAAAAGATGGCGATCACATGGAGCTGCATGTGGGTGGGGTTTGCTGAGGAGTTGACGATTGGGCTGGAAACCCATTAACAGGCAAATCTGCAGAATTCCTGCCACAGACCTCGCAACTCCAGAATCCTTCGCCCAAGCGACCCAGGGGCTGACAGACCAGTCACCAGCCAGAACTTGACCACAAGCAACCTCAAGACACTCTGAGATCCACTGCATGACTAGCTTTGAGTGGAAACTTCTCCAGGCACCAACCCGGAACGAAGGTCATTGGTAGGTCCAGGACAGGGAGCTATCCAGCACCTTTATGGGTTGATGCATGTTGATGCGGTTGATGGCCCTTCTTTTTTCATTTTTTTCACCACCATCCTGCCATGAAACGTTAGTGTCTCTTCCAGTGCAAACTAGACGCTCCGGGTGTCCAATGGGGCAGCTCCGATCCTTTTTCGCATTCAACGACCGTATGACTCACAGATCTCGACACACCGCTTTTCGTTTCGTATCGGCAAACGTCAATCGTGGTGCGAAGAAAGGAGCTTTCACTGAAGTATCGGCGGTGAACATTTCCCAGACATGACCCGGACATCAGCGTGTGGTGCCTGCCTCCATGGACCCCCCAAAAGCTACCCGAATTGTAGGCGGTAAATAGATGTCATACAGAGTGTTTGGCATTGTGAATCTGTTGATTCTTAAGCTCTCTCTCTCTCTCTCTCGCCCCCTCTCCCTCTCCCTCTCCCTCTCCCTCTCCCTCTCCCTCTCCCTCTCCCTCTCCCCCTCCCTCTCCCTCTCCCTCTCCCTCTCCCTCTCCCTCTCCCTCTCTCGCCCCCTCTCCCTCTCCCTGAATCATTGTAGGCAGAATATGTCAGAATGAATGATGCTCTCACGTTCAATGTTCTCGTACTTTGCTCAGGCTGGGACCTCCATTTTGCCAGCTGGTTAGGACCCCACCAGTGAGGACTGCTTCGTAATTCTTTGCTGTCTACTAGGCACAGATCCATCATCCCCGCAACTAGGCGGCACGATCCCCGGTCCTCACGAGAGTCATCGACACAGAGTGGGGCCAGAGTCGGCCCGACCCACAGAGCCAATGAGAAAAAAACAAGTATAGCACCTGTCGAGCCATGGAACTCACATGGAAGTGGATGGCACACCTGTAGATGATTTAGTTCGGGGTTCCGAACGTTCGGTGTTCCATGCCATCCACTTGCATGTGAGTTCCAGGGAGTGTATGTGTTTCGATCGAAGGCCATGACTGACTGGCGCAACGAGTTGCACGGAATGAGGGAGTATTCACGCACGGCATCTGGAGTGGGAGCAAGACTTCCCTCTTTTTTGTAACGAGTTGCACCAGTCTGATGAATGGTACTGAATGTTAGGAGGCCATCGCTACTAGGGTCGGTGGAGGCCATTGCAAGTAGATTGGAGGCCATCACTCTTGGGTTGGACGCCAGCGCTACTAGGGTGGAGGCCATCGCAAGTAGGTTGGAGGCTTTGAGAGCCCGAGAGTGAAGGACGAACATGTCTTCGTCTCGTTAGCCCTTTGTTTGGGCTCAGTCCACAGATCATGTCCTGTCAAGCTGAGTAAGTCGAAGAGGGCCGAAGGTGAACTTGTTTTCTTCTCAACGAGCAAGCAGCACCTCTAAGACCATAAGAACATATCGCACGTGCTGCTTGGCACGCCAAAGATGACCAGAGAACCTGCTGGTCTTGAGCCTATCCGACCACTGCACTTGGCTATGGTGAACCAGACTAGGAACAGATCAGACCTGCGGACATTTGGATGCCTGCGTGGCGGCCTTTGTTTGGAGTCAAGCGTTCAAAAATGTCAAGCATTGTTCAACGGTTTATATTTTTGGGATGCATGACAGGCAGTATCTACCGCAAAACCTCAACAACTTGGTTTTTGCTCGGCCAAAGCGTCTATTGAGCCCATGGATCAAGTTCCACCACTCAGCTTCTTGGCTACACAGCCAGCGAACGGCCCAGGTGGCAGGGTGTCGTTTCTTCATGCTTCTTCAGTGCTTGGCACTGGTTGGCAGTGAAACTGCTGTTGGCTTTCAAAGGATTTCTTCAACTTGAGTCATTGAGTCAAGGTTTTTGTCCTCAACGAGGCAGATGAATTGACTTGAAATTGACCCGTAATCCAAGGCTCCAAGGGTCCAAAGTGTTGGTTTTTGAACACTCCAACAGGTGGCTGCTGGAAGACTAGTGATATCCACCGATCAGATTCATAAAGCACCGATCTTGGAATTTGTTCTGGTTGTTTGCCACATCCATGTCCTAGCTGACAAAAGATCCCATGCCCTTTGAGATTCATGCATGGCAGGCTGGTCTATGCACGTATCATAAATTGTAAGGCCAGATGTTTGTAGTGACCCAACTGCCACAAACAGATCTGAAAGCCAAGCCACCTCATGCTGAGTTCTCTGGTATCAGGGTGTCCCCCTGCAAGAGGGACTGGCCCACAGAAACACGTGAGTCTCGGGGTATGCTCTTGAAAGAGATGCCCTGAGTGGACCTGCTAGATCTGTTAACTACCCTAAGCCTAAGAGTGTTCTATCGGAGGGACATCCAAAGCACAAGCCTACATAGAATCTTCTTGAAGACTCTAGTTGATGTTGTACCAACTTGCGTGCCACAATAGGCTGTTGTGGGGAACATAGATAAAACATAGATAAAACAAATCGCAAGTGGGTTTTGGACTGAGCCGGTCTTTCTGGTTGCTCTCCTGGCACTTCCATTTTGGGTCCCAAAAAACACATCCTAAGGTCCTTTATTCCAAAAACCAAGAGCCTCAATTGTTGTTTTGTGACGTAAAAAGCGTTCTCTCAAAAAAAGAAGACACAAGAGCCTCTCAATAGGTCCACCGGTCCACCTTCTTCCTCTCCAGGCCCGGTGGACTGGCCCGACGAGCGTGGGCCGTCTCTCTCGGCTCTGAGCGCCCGGAGCTCCACCGAACGAGGCGCACCGGTTTCGAGCTCGACCGCACCGGCGACGTACGTGGACCCGGTCGGACACGGACACGGACGATCGTTTTGGGGTAGATGACCTTGAACATCCTTTAACCAACCATCCCAGGTATTGATGCATCATATATTTATTAATCACATATTATTAAAAGTGCAAAATCTTGCAAATATACATGTGAATATGATGTGATTGCAGGGAGTTGTTGATCTACAGAAGGATTTCCAGAATCTTCTTTCAATGTGTGTAGAACCACATATTTCATGTATCAGGATGAAGTTCACTTGCCATTCCTTGCAGGTTCTATGTTTTGATCCTAGATTTGCGTCTATGACAAAACACAAATCAGGCAAGAGCACGATAGACAATTATTTTAGACAGCATAGTTCAGGTTCATGTTAGACTTGAATGGTGTGAACCATTGACTTTGACGCAAGAGAAAAGCATATTTACGGGCTTATATTGGCCACATGATTCATCAGTCGTGACTCTGAAGTAAATGGTTCCACCCCAAAACTATGCCAGTTCTTTTCTTTTTTTAAGTGATTCTGCAAGGCCTCCTTGCAGTCGGGACGAGCGTTCACGTCTCCCTTTCCATCACCAGATCTCGTTTCGTTCGTTTCGGCTCAGGCCTCACCACCGGCTCACGCCATGGCACACCCCGCGACCACGAGCGACGGGGCTTGGAGGAGCTGCGGGAGCGACGCGCGGGCGCTTCCCCGCGCAAGGTCCCGGAAGAAGCTTGGTTTGGTGGAATAATGCGGAAGCCGGAGATGCGGAAGCCGGGGTTGGGAGAGGATCCTGTTTTCGTGGCGAGTTGAGATGGGTGGTTTTGAGATGTTTTTGTTTGAATGTTTTATATACTCTATATATAGATGGTTTTGGGGGTTGGTATGGTTGGTTGATTGAGGATCATGAGGGGACAACGAACAAGGAACCTTTGACAAGTTGGTCAACCTCACTCAGCATTCAGGGGATTTTGCAACATTCCAACACGCACTTGTGTGTGAAAACAGGTACTTCCAAGCATGCTTCTTCAAGACAACCACGAAGCATGTAGAAACCCCCAGAAAAGGAACCCGACCTCACGGTCTCTCAACGTGGCGACTTCGAAGTTGGGCCGGAGAAGTGGCGGATCACATGACTCACCGGACTTGACAGGTCAGGTGCATCAGTTGTATGAGATGCTTTACTATGAGACAATACTATGCATCAGGTGCATGAGTTGCAGGATTCCGCTGGACCGTCCGCATGGGCCCGGGACCTTTTTTGGAGACCCAAACAGCTGGGACACAGTCATCGTGCTCCTCCGTTTTGTTGGTGTGCGAGGTGTTTCTATTTTTGTCAGGTCTATACACGTTTTTCTCCCTGTCCTTTCCCTTCCAAAAAGCTGTCTTTATAATGCCAAATTCCAAAATCCATTTGCCCGTGTCTGATGGCAGAAAAAACACCATCCAGTCACGTGCCTTTTCGCGTCCGGCGTCCAAGGACGTGCCAAGCTTGCGGCTGGGGCTGCTGAGCCCCCGGAGTAGCTCCTCAGACGTCACCTCCAGGAGAACCGCCCTGTGCAGTGTGGGAAGCGGGGGACGGTCTCTCGTCCGGGATCCCCAGAGGTGGCAGACGTCCGATCCTTCGTGCGATGTCGAAGTCCAAGGGTCGGAACAACACCGGAAGTCCAAGACTCGGAATACAAGGAATCATCTCTGAGGGACAACACTCTTTGTGTTCGCTTCCGTGATAAATGCGTCACTAGAGGGGTAAAAATCTGAGTCTTTGAATTTATCCGGCAACTCTGAAGACTAGCATGGAGGATCGTTTAAAAGAAACAAAGCAAAAAACACTCGAGGATACTCGAGGTGTTTAAGAAGTGTTTCAAAGGATCAGCCTTTGGGATCTGTCTAAAGTTCTTCAGGGTCTTATCAGTCTTATCACCTGGTGCTTGGCCTTCGGAGCCTTCGGAGGCGAATCAGGTTGGGCACTTTTAACCGAGGTCATGGAAAGGTCACTGACCAATCCTGAAAAGGTCGCTGGGAAGGTCCTGGTACATACCCAACATACACCCACAAACTCACTCAGAGTATTCTGCAGTGTGTTTTTTACTTTTTCGTTTTGTGTGTTCGAAGGCTACCGGCTAGACCGATGGCTGTCAGAAGGTCAACAAAAACAAGTTTTGTGTTTGTTTGTTTAATTCTTCGGCAGGAGCGAACTCTTTGAACCTCAGATCTCCAGCGGCGAGAAGAGCCGAGAGATACAGGTGGTTGGAACCCTGCCCGGCTGGGGCAACGGCTGGGTGGGGGTGGGTGGGGCTAAGTACTGAGCTGTGTTTTGTTTGTAACAGCATGGGAATGGCTCAGTGACTTGGTGTGATGGCCGATCCTTCAACGTTGGGTCATGTGAGCTCATTCGCTCGCTGTGAGGGGCCAAGAGAACATTGGGCCAGTACACCTGGGAAGATTAACATGGAACCTGAAAATAGACCTTTGCAAGACTATTTCCCGCCACTATACCCTGGAAGTCCAAAGACTATACTTTCCCTGAGTGAAGTAAAGGAAAATCCCTTCAGACCATTCTTTGTATAGTCTTTGACTCGCAGGGTATATACAACTCATTACAACCCGGTTTTCCGAGGTTTTCCGCTCCGGGTCTCTTCAGTCCTGAGCGACCACCCCTGACGTGGCCGTTGTTCGGCATGCTCACCATCTGTTTGTTCAACATCCGTCCTGCACGTTTTGTGAGAAACCGATTGATACTTTGTGTGTTTGAGTTCAACGTCCAGAACACTCAACCCATCAGTCGTCGCGCTTTCGATCCAGAAAAGTCGACGGATCCATCCGACCATGCCCGAAGTGGTTTGTGGCTCGGGGGTCCTCGATGTTTCGACGTCACACATTAGGGATTGCTGATGCACCCCTCGAGTTTGGTGGTACACCCAGGAAGATTCACATGGAACCTGAAAATAGACCCTTGCAAGATGTTGCAAGACTATTTTCCTCTACAACCCAGGGTTTTTCAGGGTAATCCACATTGCTTGACGTGCAGGGACAGGCCGTCGCACGAGAGACAGGTTCGGCCAAAAACGCCTGTCAATCGACGTCGCCAGGACCTTTGTCGCGAGATGGAGGCGATGCGTCCCTTGGATGGAGGCGATGTGGCACGGCCTGACCTTTTGGAGGTCTCAGCTACTGTTTCCATATCTTTGGTATAGCATCGGGTAGAACATCCACAGACCCGATAAGAGAAAGTGATGTTGGGCGGTGGAAACAGGGTCAATCTCACCTCTGAGGGTGTTTGTTTGGACTACGTGGACTCATGTTGATCGATATAGCCCTAGGGCTCCAACTACCTCCTGAGAAGATGGTCGGGGTGGGTTTAGGGGTCTAACCACCTTCTGAGGATATGGTTGGAGCCCCAAAAGCATCATCAGAGATGTTAAAACCAATTTAACAGCTCACTCCCTTTGTTCGAACTCAAACGGCTCTAACTAGAGACACTTTGCGGTAGCTCGGTGTCTTGAAATGCCTGATTTTAAGTCAGAGATCTGACGGTGGTATTCATTTTAAAGAGAGGTGTGTCCGGCTCCAAGCTTCCCAGCTGCCCAAGTCCTGCGAGCACTGCGAGCACTGCTACTCCAGAGTGGACAGCTGCCAGCTCGGCACTCTGCCATCCCTTTTTCAATAGCGCCAGCAACGGTAGGACCGGTGAGCCCAGTGACTCCGGCGGGGCCAGTCCCGATGTGACTCGACCAGTTCCCACCGTCGGGACGACGGGACGACCACACCGTTGGGGGTCTCATGGGGTCTTAGGTCTTCCTATAACCATATATTACACACACATACACACACACACACGTCACATACACACCCAGGATTTGCTACATGAATCCCTTTCGTTCGCCCAAAAAACGACCTCAAGGACTCGTAACCGTCCAGATCCCGCTAAGCTCGGTCGGCTTCAGGTCTGGAGAAATCAGGTCACATAGACCAACCCTGAACGTTTGGTCAATGGGAAGGTTCTGGTAGACCAGGATCCCTTTGGTTCACTCCCTCTGATCGGAGAACATCTTCCTCGTGCAGAGCCGGGCGTGAGCTCGACCTCTTGAAACAAACACATCGATGAGAGCCACTGCGGTCATCTGCGGTCTCTGCAACAAAGGCTGCGTGCGAAAGTGAGAAAGCAATGAACCTAAAGAATACATCAAATCATCTGAAAAAGAGCGCATATCACATCATATTCGTCGTTTTGTCCATCCGACACCTGCCGTGTTGTGCAAAGAACTCCGTGGACCTCGCACCTGTTTCCGAGGCCATGTGATTCAGCAGGATTTGGCGCAAATGCGAAAGACCTGGACAGATCTTCAGGCGCGGAGCCGCGCGGGAGCCAGGAGTGGGAGGCCCCCCTGCGTGGGGGGAAAAACGGTCCGCCCCCCGCGGAAGGACCTTGTTGTCCGCTTTCACCAGGTCCAATTGGGTGAAGATTCAGGTTTTCCACCAGATGTCCAGGCGTCCCCATTCTTCAGCTCGGACGGACTCCGCAGCCTGCGAGCTGTTGGGTGCGGGTTCTCTTGATCAATGCATCACCACAGCTGTGACGACTCCATACCCCAGCGAATTCTTCATCTAATTCACAACCATTTGCTGTAAAAGTATATATTACTGTAAAAGAGTCAGGCCAATTCGCGATTCAGAAAGCTGTCAAGGCGCAAAGCTCAAGTATCTCAACACTGAGAAGTCATGTTTCACTCACGCCGAGCTCAGCTGCTACCACACTTCAGGCCTCCACAAATCAGAGATCAAATCACATCCCTGAGATTTTCCCACACATTCTTCACTGCAACAGCTTCCTCTAGGACCTCTAGGTCTGTCCTCCGTCCTCTGGAGGGACCGTACGGTGGGACTCTTCGCCGCAACAAGAACGGTTCGGAACAGGTGGTTGATAGAGGGGATATCCAAAAAGTATGGTACCTGATGCTACTTGGCACTCGACCAAAAACCGATCACAGAGTGTGACTCAAAATGATCCTAAAGTTAGGTATATACTCAAACTCAGTGTGTTCCGATCCATCTTCTTTGTGTCCCAAAAGGATCCTTTTGCTCTATCATACACTACTACTCTTCCGAAAAGGACATCGTAGACGAAGTGAACCGTTGGTCACGTCCTCAAGGGAGTCAGATGAGGTCCGTTCTGTCAGGTGTCAGCTGCCAGTGCAGGCGGGGCTTTGGGAGAAAGGCGGGCCTTGTTGATGAACATCCCACGGGCAAAGCAAAAGCAGGAGACGGGAGGCTTGATGCATCGGACATCTGTTTGGTTTTGTATGGTTTGGTTGCGTTTTTGGGAATTAATGCACATATACATGTTTATGCATTTGTTCATGCATTTTTCTTGAAGAGGTGTTTTGGATCTGGGGACAATATACCTCCTGGATGTTGAAAGGCAGGTAGATGTTTCTGGCCAAGTGCTTGTAGGACGCATTCGCAAGACATGAGGGAGGTGAGGGAACCGAGGCCTTTTTGTTGGAGGCAGTAGTTATGGCACCAGTGTTTGCTGAGTTTCTTTTGCATTGTGCATCTTGGGGAAAAGCATTTCGGACATGTACAGTTTCAGAGCTTCCTCTACCTCCCCGGAGTGCATTCAACTCCAGGATCGTTTTATTGACAGAAGCTTGCATTGGGTTGGTTTCCGCAAAGATATGCTTCCTTCGTTTGAGGCTGAAATTGGAGCCAGTCTGGATGTAGGCCTGCATTCAAAGACACATTATACATGTTGTGTTGTTTTTTTGTTCTGACAAGTTCCTTGTTCTGGCCGCATATTTGGATGATCATATTTGGGATGATATCTAAATATACCAATCTGTGCTGAGTGCTGATCAACCGATCAACCTAGCCCCCAAGTACCGTTGCGTGGGACCAAGTACCGTTGTAAAGGATTGAATTAATATGACAAACAATCTTTGACTGATCCACTCTTCCCCTTCATGGCCTTCTTACTCAAGGGACACTTTCCAGACAGCAGAAGGTTTTGTCCCTCTGGCAAGGGAGGCATTTTTGCCCTAAGCTTCAGAACACAATTTTGCGTACAATGCAATCAACGGAAGTAAATTGGATTACTCTACAAGCTGGGGAGTGACCATTCAAGTCTTGACTTGCCGACTAGTCTTGCATTTCCTCTCTAATACTGTACCGTAAGCGGTTCTGCACCCATTTAAAATGACTTGGAACTTTAGAACCCATTAGAAACTGCTTACTGGGTGGGTCCTCTCTAAGTCATTTCCTCTCTAAAGTTTAAACCCATTAGAAATGACTTGGAACGGCTTATCTCTGAGTTACATCCTTTGAACGACGCACCAGCTTGTCGAACAAACTCCCCCGCACCAGTTGGCTCAGACAGAAGGCAAAAACGAGTAGATGCAGCCAATACATCATGTCATGTGAGTGTGTGTGTGTGTGGGTATGGGGGGAGGGTGAGCCATTCTTAGCTATTCTTCTCATGAAAGCTCGCTCCTTTTGGTGATGTCGTGGCAGACAGCCATATGCGCGTCATGCGCCGTCTTCTTTGTGACATGTCTTTCCGTTTACTTGTATTCGCAAAATACAGAGAAGTGCCTGCAGTTTCTCCTGAGGCCTTCCATTCAGGAAAGGATTCTTTTTTGATTACTGGATGGGGTCATCCTTGTGGATTTTTCAGCCATGTTTGGTGGCATGAGTTGAAGTTGGCAAACAATATGGTTACAACATGTTACAACAGCTTTCTTGTAAAGTTTGTATATACCCCAATTTGCTGGAACTTCATACCAAGCACCACCTTATCCTCAGGAGCAGCCGCGGAACTTTCCAGTTGCACTAGATGCACCTAGTCCAAGTCCTGCACCTAAGCCACTGTCAGCGCGCTGCGAAGCCTCCGCGGACGAGAACAGGCCGACTCTGCCTTGCCGGCCGTCCAAACGTTGCGCGAAAGACCATCGCGAGATCATTCCAGGCATCATTTTGGAGAGAGGGACAGCTTGTCCGATGGAAGAAGTTTGGGTAAAGGACTTGGTGAAAGTCGATCCAAGTCCAGACAAGGTGGGACGTTGTTGGGTTGCGCAACAAAAAGTGTATTGTGTCCCTTGTGTCCCCTTACTTGGGGCTGGAATGCTCTTCATGGCAGGGGAACTCAAGCCTGGCAGCATTCCAGTTCTCCATCGCAAGTTTTTATGAAACATTTGTTTCATTGATTTGCAGTTGGCCTCCACCAGGTGATTGTCAACGTCGGCTGCAACAAGGGGCATGATTCGATTGTTTGGCTGAACCGCTTTGATCAACAAGAATTTTGGAGCCTGAAGAAATGGACAAACATGCTGAGAAGATACAGGACAGTGCTTTGGACTTCATTAGAGATTGTGTGATAAAGGGCGTGGTCCTGAAAGGCTTCACGCACCAACAAACAGTTGAATAGAACATTCATGGTAAGAACATTGAACTCATATGTGTGCAGACGAGAAAAACACACAGTATGATGTAATTTGCAATGTAATATATGCTCACGGGGTCAATAGCGACGCGATGGTGAGAGTGCGAATATCGCACATTCCGTGTGGTATTTATATATACATGTATTTACAGCATTTCGTAGAGCGTTAACTCTGCAAAGTCGATTTTGGGTGTTTTTTTTAAAGGTTTTGGGACTTTTTGTTGTCATCGGTATCAGAAGATAGTCTGGACTCGCGCAAGAGGTTAATTGCAAACGAAGATGTTGGATGAGACATGGGGGTGGGGGGGGGGGTATGGATTGCTCAACCCAGAAATCTGGCAATGAGCATATTCCTTCCAGTTGAGACACAACGCAGGACAAGACCTGTGGAATCCCCCAGACTATTTGACTATTTGAGCGCCGACAGGTCGACCAAAGTTGCTAGGTGTTGGGAATGATTAGACTTGACGACGACATTCTTCTTGGACATCAGCACCTTCCTGTTGAATACGAGGAGACTCAAGACAGATGAGGGAGTGCAAATTCTCCCGTGTCACTGACGACCCCGTGGCCCAATTTGCAAATTGTGTTGTTTGAGGAGGGGAGACGCCAAATTCTCTATGTCCGTCCCAGGTCCTTTTGGAGAAACAGTCAGTTTTGACTAAACGTAGATGCTCCAAGTGCGAGGTCTGTGGCATCAACATGGACATTGACTCAGCCCCAAAGGTGGACTCCACTGCAACTCCAGTGGCCATTTGTGTCGAAGCGATGCCGCAAACGGTTCAACTCTTAAAGCAGATGCGCAAGGATGCCGGCTATGATTCCACAGAGCATGGGCAGTTTCCTGGTGGTAAGGCTGGAAAATCGAGAACCACAAAACTCACGACCATGGCAACATGCTCCTTGCCATGGCGTCAAGACAAAGGATTGACATGTCATGGTGGGGATCACTCGAAGTAAAGTAATTGTTGTTTGCACTTGATGAATATTTGCCCCCCCTGGGGCTCCAACAGCATGTCGTTGGGGTAGGGACGCACCCCTGGCCACCCCAAAGGCCTATCAGGAGGTTGGTGCGCTTGGATATATTTGCAACATTTTGGAAGCACGTCTTTTTGATATTTGGGATGTTGACCTGTCGATTGACCTCAGCAACCAGGTTTCAAATCATTTTTGCAGCTGCCTCAGATACAGTGGAATCACACTGGGATACGGTGGAATTTCCCGATGGTCCGGCGGGGTTGGAGACAGCCGGACTGGATGGAAAAGTGGGAAAGCTTCGTTCGAAGAGCCGGACTACCCCAGTGCCTTTGACCACTGTGGACACACTTGTGCATGACCTGAAGCTTCCGAAGGTGGACATTCTCATCATCGACGCGGAGGGTGCAGATCCTGCAGTTCTCCAAGGGGCTGAAAAGACCTTGAATTCTGTGCGTTACATGATGTTTGAAACACACCGGTGGCAGACTGGCACGCATTGGGAGAAGACAACGATCTTGCACGTCTTGCGCAGGCTGAATGGCTATGGCTTTGAGTGCTACTGGGCGGGGAACAACGGCAAACTCTACAGCATCACCTCTTGCTACACAGAAGAGTTTGAGGAGTCTCACTGGGGCAACATTGTTTGTGTCAAGCGGCAGGATGTTTGGTTCTCCATCATGGAGTCGGCGGACCCGAATAGCAGATAGTGTACGGTTGAAATGTCCAATCTCAGCAGCTTTTTGACCTTTGAACACATTCCCAAGTGCATCCTCAGGTGGTTTCCGGACCCCTGTCAACATTTAAAGACAGTAGATGATTTGAATGTCTCAATGTCTCAAGTCTCGAAGCGAAGCTTCATGCACGAGTCGGCATTTGCATGCATTTGCTGTCTTCATTGTTTCCGTATCCAAAGTATGTCCCGCAGACATATGCCAGAGGAAGAGACGTCGCGAATGATCTTCTATGTTTTCTGCGCTTGTGAGACGAGAAAAAGATGAATCTCATTCACAGGAGGTCGATGAATCTACGTACGCAAATAGTCGACAGCCTTTGGGGCTGCTAATGATTGCTCATGTATTTCAGCTTGGTACAGAAGGTTTCCTTGAGCAAAATATGACCAGATCCGACAGAGTTGGTGGCCGGTGGCCACTGCTTTCCATGACTTCAGGACTTCATCTGGAAATGCAGTTCTTTGATGGTAGTGGTAGGCAGCTAAGATCCACTCTTTGACACTCCTTGAGGCCCAAAGCCACTGGAGACGCAGGAGGTCCGACCGACCAGCGTGTTTGAAGGGGGGGCCGGGATTCGCTGTAGGATTGCGCAGGAGAAAGAGGTTTGAGGTCTGCTGATTGGGATAGTGAGGATTGGAACCATTATATATACAATATTACCATTTGACATGTAGTACATACAATATACATTATAACATGTATTATGTGTATAATACATACATATCACTATAGGTCTACATCCTCTTCGTGCTCAGTGGTTTCACCGGTGGTTTCATTGGACACGTCCTGGACCAGACTCGTCGAGCCGTTCGAGACGTCTGCACTGGGCGTTTCTCCCATTGTGAGCGTTGACAACAACACAGCCAAACACCATATGCTTATGCTTGCTGATGCCTGGTGATTTTTTTCAACATCATCTCCACCAACAAGTAGACACTGACGAAAGATGACAGCAACACCTCCATTTGGGTAATAGTCACATGACTCTTCCTGCAGACTACCCTGTAGAATCACTTCATGAAAGACGCTGTGACCCTTGGAGGGAAAGACATCCTTTGATATCCTTTGATTCACCAAAGCTCCTTTGATTCACCACCGGTCACCACAGCTCGCCCCGAATAGCCTCCTTACAACTCGCCAGATCCATTGGTTTCTGCCAGAGGCCAAGGGCCGCCAGGGCCGCGTGGCGGATGGGTGCCGTTGGAGGATTACAACGATGACTCCGCCTTGGTATCTCACCATATCTCACCCTAGTGTCACTGTCTATGGAGACTTCTGCGCAGCTTCAACTTGCTTGTTTAGACTTAATCCAAAGGCACGCCATTGGACAACCCCGGTGAGCCCTTAAGCCTTAAGCATGAACACAGCCCAAGAACCTAAACATTCACATGCGTCGGTGATATGCACGCTAGTGTTAGGTGCCAGCAGTGCAAAATTACGTAGCTGCACTCCGACGAAAAACAACATGTTTTGAATCTAATATTGTTCACCGGCCTTCAAATGAGAAGGGTTTGGTTCGGGTCAGGACCCCTGCGTTTCCATGTTCGAAGCCCCAAGACTTCCTAGACACTCCATGGGACTGGCATGTCTTGTCTGCCTAACCTGACCCCCCTTTTTGGTCCACCACCCCCCCAGGGGAGAATCCACCCGGGAACGGACCGTGGACCTTACGCGACCGGGGTGGTTTACACCCCGGTGTCCGCGGCAGGTGAGCCAGGTCCACGAGGTTCCACCCGTCGAGGCGTTGGGGGCGCGGAGGTCCCAGTCGGAGAGTCGGCGGAGAGACGGAGAGTCGGACGGAAGGAACATGGGCAGCAGTGGACGGTGAGTGACCCGCAAAAGACGATGAGAAGGCTTGGGGAACCTGTGGACTCTTTGGGACATTGGATAAGAGAGATAAGAGAGTGGTTCATCAATGGCTGACAAAGGACCAAAGCGATATCAGGTGCTAGAGATCATTGTGAGGTGTATTGAAAGCAATCTATAGATGATTGAAAAAGATCAAGATGTTTTCCCCTCCAGAGGCAGGAGTGCCATCACGGGCCATCCACCATTTCTTATTGAAGCACTAAGCAAGAGGAGTCATCCCTCTAAAGCAGCCAGTCTCCGGAAGTCTGCCAAGCTGCTCCCGGACTGTCAAAAGGACGGTTCCCTGTAGACGGTCTCATTGCTGGAAGGTCCAGCGATTCGCGGCCTGTCACATGAGGGGTCACACCTGATGATGCTTTTCAAAATGAGGAGTACTGAGTAGGACACAGACGCTTCCTTCCTTTGAAGAAAGAACCACCCACCCAGGGCCACCCGGCTAGTGTTTTGTTGGATTTTGCGCGGCATATCAGGTCCCGGACCGACCAGCCGGACGAAGTGGTCCGATCCTCTCCCATGGGTCGTTTCAAGCTGCAAGAACCCACGGCCGTCATCGCGTGGAACGGAGGTCGGAGGTCATCGCGCCGTCATCGCGCCAAGCGCCCCGAACCCATCCCCAGATCGCGAGCTTCCTGGTGGTTCCAGCTGGTGGGTACCAGGCGGCACACCAAAACGGTCCGCTCAAAGCCCAGTGACAAAGTAGACCATTTTTCCATTTCCATTTCCAGCCATAGGGAGCTCTCTGACTCATGACGTGAAGTACTTGAAAGTAGACCAAGTCAAGTAAATAAAGTTGTGAAGTACTTGAAGGTCGGGATCACTTGGGGAAAGAGGGGAGATTATGCCATGTGATGGCCAACGTCAATTTAGTCCTCCCACAAGACGTGGGTTTTGACAGGTGAGTACTCGAATATATCGGTTTGCGGCGTATGTCCTTACTGGGTCCATCCACTGTTTTGAAGTGGGTGGAACTACTCCCTACCAAACAAGTAGATTGTTGGACCAAGCCAAACCCACCACTTCGTCATCTCTATCACACCAAAACCATGCCCGAACACCGAGGCCATATGGCACCTGCAGATGGAAGAGGCCTGTCCAGATGACCAAAAGCACACGATTGACGCTGGATTTGGTCCTAACCAGTCAGTGGTGAACTTGGCAAAACTGTTGAGCTGAGGAGGATGAAATTGGTTTCTCTTGTAGCGAAATCGGACGAGCCAGTTGCGTTTTTAAAGCTTTGTGAGCATATCTGTTGTATATTTTGGGTGTGTCCGACTACCAGAGACAGCAACAGTTTGGAAAGCACGCTCATGATGAAACCATGTTCCGCCTGCCCATGAGTTGGTTTTGCTTGAGTACCCCCTAGTGACCAGTTGTGCCACCCTACGATTTTGACCGTGATGGCTTTCCTCAAAGCTACACGGTTGTGGGTCAACACCACGGCAGTGCTGATGGACCATGGACCCTCCTTACATTTATTTTACTCACCAACAAAAATCGGCTGGGTTCAGAACTGATGTTACCAGCTGTCTTGTGCAGGAGCCATCTGAATCTGGTGCATGGTCAGGAACCTCAGCAGACTGGGAGGTGAGCTGTCTGGGCGGTGAGCTGTCACCTGATGCCCCCCTTCTCTCCTGCACGGATCTCAAATCGCGAGTGGAACCCCAACGCAGCCGAGTTTCGGCGTCTGGAACCCTTTGCTTCACCTGCACCCGTCGATGTCACCATCGCGGCTCGTCGATGGTGTTTCTTCTTCCGCCGCATCGAGTGCGGATCGGATCGGGGAACTTGGACGGCCAAGTTCCAGCACCTGGTGCCGGCTGTTTCCACCCACGCAGGTAAGTACCGGATCTTGGGAGCGGTGCACGGCGTGCACGGAGCCAGAAAGCCAAGTCCCCGCAACAGGTGGCTGACATGGCGAACTGGGCACTGCCCAGCTCAAGTGCAGGGTTCACCAGCTGGGGAGAGGTCAAACTGGCAGCAGGGCTCCGTGGGACAGATCGAACTGGTGCACAGGTGCCGTGGGGAAGAAGAAACGCGGCAGTGAGGCAGTGGGAGACTCATCTCCGAGACTGCTGGTGATTGGAGAGAAATGGAGAGAGGCCATGGGTCATTCAAGGTGAAGCAAGCCAAACGGACAAGTCGATAACATATTACTTACAGTATAGTATAGTCCTACCTGTTACCTGGAGTATTGTTTTATATTTAACTAACCCTCACAATGAAATACCTGATACACATGGACCACATGGCCCTGTGTCCATGAATGCTCTTACAGGTGTGTGTTTTCAGGGTGAACTCTCCAATCACTCTTGCTAGGGCAGTGGTCTGGGGAACAACCCTCCTTGAGTAAAACGTGGGGCAGGAAACAAGACTTGCATGTCCTTCTCCTTGCCTTGGTGGTACACGAGTTTTGCAGAGAACAAACATGGGACAAAAAGATGTCAGCCATCACCATCCACGACTTTCTCTGGCTTCCAGGTGTCAAGCCTTACATCGACAACCACATGGATGATCATGGAGAGTGCGGTGTCTATGTTCCAAAATACAGGCATATAGTGGTTGGATACCATTGGAAACCCAGGAGAAGTATCGTAGACTTCCTGTAGATCTTCCTGTCCTCTATATATCTTCCTTTAGGAAAATTAGCTTCACTTCCCAGGATCTCCACCCATGGGCTATTCGAGGCAGCTGAACATCCCAGAAGCTCCGAATCGCCAACTGCGTTCAGTGTAGCTCTCGTGGACCAGCTTCGTTCAGTGACCACCAGCGTGACCTAAGCAGAAGAGTCAGGACCACCAGCGGTGTCACCACCAACTCGATTTCATCCGCCATGACTATAGAGCCGATGCGCACCTCGTCGCTTTTGGATGGTGGAGCACTCGTCACTCGTGAACGCGTCTTGTTTTACCCCTGCGCCTTCACTGACCCTTAAAAGATCTTAAAATAATGCTTAACCTGGTTTTAGTAGTCTCAAGTCCTCAGTCAAACAACCTTTTGAACAAAAAGGTTGTTGGAATTTCTAGGGTTACTGATTGCTACTTGTCGGCTCATTATTATTATTATTATATATATATATATTTATTTATTTATTGACCATCTCACCACATCGACGGGTTCAGGTGCTTCTCTCTTCGTTCCCCAAGCGGCTCATCCTCGGGCTGTGCTTGGCGTTGGGAGCCTTGGGAGCCTCGGAGCTGTGATAGATCCAGTAACCCATGTTCATTGGAAGAGTTACACCACCATGGATGGTTGTTCCGGTTGCTGCGCGACGACCACCGCCCGCACCGGGTTGCTTCGGGAGAGAGTGCAAGGAAAGGGAATTCATATTCATGTCCAAGCCAACACCCCAAATGATGCGGAACCGAGTGAGCAGGAGTCTTGATGTTTGTTGTATAGTTTATTGTAAGATGTTTATAAGGATGGCAGTTCGAATTTTTAACTGGCATACCTGCTTCCACTGCCACAATATTGCTTGGCTAGAGACAGCCCTTTGGCGGGTGGAGAGAAGCAAAATGGAAGTTGCGTGACTTGTTAGACTCCACTTACAGAGCTGATTTTCATTGACTTTTTTCGCACGCTGCATTGGTCAACTGACCTCGCGCAGCTGAGTGAGATCTGTGTGAAGCTTTGGCACGGATCTTCACTTTATTGGTTCATATAGCCCACTAGTTTCTCCAGGTCAGGTGCCTTTTGACATGCACAGCAGACCGACCTTGGCTCGGGCAGGCCACAGACTTGACAAAAGGATCAAGAAGGTGATTGCTAGTGACAGTGGTGAAATACCTCAAGTCACTGTGCTTTCTCATACTTGTTCCTCTGTGCGACGGAGCACATTACAAGGTGTTCTTTGCAGACGGTGTTGAGTGCCCCGTTCTTTTTTCATGGAATGTGGGATGTCCTGCTTTGCCGCATGGGGCCGGCTTGAGCTTGCCTGTAGTGGGGGACATGGACCTTTGGACCTACATGAGCCTGATTCCTCCTCACTGCTTGCCAAGTGGTGTGGGATAAAGGCGTCTGAGGTTCTTTCACATGTCCTCAAGCGCAAAACACATGTGGTCCCGCTTGCGTCGCACGTGCTGTGCATGATTTGCAGAGTCAAGGGCGCAAAGCTTTAGCCGCGAATAGTTTGAATCGTGAACTTGCTGCCCGGGGCTTGCCTGGTATTCACGGTGTCACTGTAAAGGCACCGCGCCCGAGCTTGTACCCTCACCAGTCTCAAGGTAAGAAGGCCTGGCTCCTCTCCAAAGGTCGGTTGTTTGCAGGCTCACTGAGTAAACATCGTGACAGATGGAACGCTGTGACCATTAGCAAGCACTCCTTTCAAAGTCTCCCGGAAGGCATAGTCTGCAAAGAGGATGCCGCGCCGTAGTGCAGTCTGCGTCAAGGCATGTGCCGAGTGGAAAAGGTATGGGATGCTCCTGTGCGACCACCAGACCATGATGACGCGAAATGTGTGTCAAGAGCGACTGCCACCGCCTGCTCTGTGTTGCGATTACTGCCTGTCCGTCGTGAGCTTGTGTGCAATGAGGCTATCCGAGTGTTTCCTTCTAGTCAGGCGTGCAAGCAGGAACGGCTCTTTTTTCAAATAGTCAGAAGGGATTACATGTCTTACACACATGACGTGACCGATGCCCCGGGTACTGCGCTTGTGCCCGATGATGACAAAGGGAAGAAAATGTTCTGGAGGATGCCGCAGGATATGTACACCATCTTTTTGCATCCTGTTGCTATCATCACATGCCGGTTGGAAAATTGGTTCCTCGTCGGAAAGATGGCCAAGCTTGATGCTGTCATGTGCACATCATTCTGTTCGGGAAGCCCAGGTCTCTTTTACCGTATACTATGGTACTGTGAAGCCCAGTCCAAGTGTTTTGGCGACTGCGAGAGAAAGTGCAAAAAAGACGTTCGTTCATGTTTGCGCATAATGTTGTGTCGCTTGATGCCTGGCACTTTCGGAAGCGGTCGCCCTTCATCCATCGTGGTCTGGAAACTGCGCTCAGGCGTGATGGTATGAAACTTGGTCCTTAAAGGACGAGGGCGAGCATGGTCTATAGTGGTCTGGGTTCAATTTCCAGGTGCCCCAGGTGCAACACTATGCGGACAGGCGGGCCACTACCCCACCCCTGCAATTAGAGGGTGTGGGCCGTTAAAACACAAGACTTTGCTGTTGACCGTCGCATGGGCTCCGCTTGTGTTGCCGATGGGGGACTCTGTTCCGTTGTGGCAGGTGCAGCTGCAAAAAGGATCATGTCACGTCGCTGCTATCGCTGCTGACACTGGGCAGTTACTTGAGTCAGAGCAACCAAGGCAGGCCATTGCCGCCGCAAGACGTGTTGTTCACAAATGTAAGGCCATTACCCAAAAGCGTTGGGCCACTGTTCTTTGCGGCTGCAGGAAGTGCCTCAAGAGGGACACAGAAGGCAAGAAACGCCGGTTAAATTGTGGCCTGACTCCATGACCACCAAGAAGTGCACCCTTTCGCAAACTGAGGTGCTGAATGACAATGGCAGTGTGGTTGCTTTGGCGTTGGCGGTCTCTGAAAACCTTGAGAAATGGGAGCAGATGCGTGAGCAGTTGGAATCACCGCCTGCGCCACTTATCAACAACCTTTTGGTGCAAACGCAGCCATGGCCTTGATGGGAACTGAATTCCGGCGAGCCCTGAACAGGGCCCACGCTTTGGTTGGGGTATTTCTGGCACATGTGCTTGCGCCAGGAAAGTTCCTCTACTTGGCTGCCTGCCATTCGGACGGACAAGTGTCTCCTGGGCGCTGAAAACCCTGTCGTGCGATGAAAGATGGTTTACGAACCATTCAACATGAAACAGTATGCATGGTCGATGTGTACTTATTCCCTTTGCTCTGCTTTTTCGACCTGGAGATGACAAGGACCGCTGGATGAACGAAAGAAGCACATGGGAAAGATAACATTTGCGTTGTTGAGTATAGAACAAGTGACAACATATACAAGTTCAAGGGGTCGGTATATCAGTAACTACAATAACCTCTAAATTTATGCGTGATGACCTAGAGGTGACAAGCACCATGCAGTGGATGAATCTCATTAAGTAATGTTTTCATTACTGCATCATTTGCATTACCACGTCAATCACAGGCATGCTTTCAATTCCTTGTCACTGCAGGCATACCACTTCATGCCCTGTCCCAGACCAAACGGCGCACCACCTCCACATCATATGTTGCAAAACCTCCGGTTTGCACTGTGATTTTTCATGTTTTCTTCCACCACTACTTCCCCTCCAGACACACCTCATGATGCAGGATATGCATATCTGTTCCCTAACGCTCTGGGAGCTCAGTGTTCACACCCCAACAAAATTATGCCCCTCCGTACTTTTTCGGTGCGGGCGGATTTTCGCGGGATAAATGGATGATAAATGGATGCTACATGGAGGTTACGTGGATGTACAATCATGTACACCTCTTCCAGACCTATTGACAGTCTGAGGCATCCTCAGAGACTTTGCCATCACGTCCTGAAATTTGGAGTTTTGCCTTTTGGTGTTCACACGGTTGCTCCATACTTGCGAGCAATTCTCCAAATCTGGTCTGATGATGCAAGCATGCAGACCTGCCGGCCATCTTCAAGACCTACCTTTGAAAATGAATGTTTGCGGCCGCGTTGTTCCAGCTGCAGGTGAGATGTGAGGGGTGGCTGAGTCGTTTTGGATAGCCTTTTCCAGATGTTTGCCAAAATGCCGGCGGTTTCAGATCTTTGTTCTTTTTGCCGACCATGTTGACCCGAGGCATCAACCTCTCAGTGCAACTGGCAGGCGGGGCTCCACCGCTGGGCGAGCGAGCGCAGGCTTTAGTTGAGCAAGTCAAGGTACATCGACTCGACCGAATCTTTGAGGACAGATATGCACATGCTGGTATTTATGGAACCCTAATTGGACCCTCGATGGCAGGGGTCGGATTGAGATCGGGTCCTGGTTCTTAGGGAAAATCACATTTGCATGTTTTCTGCCCAGATCTCTTTTGCAATTTGGATATTTGACCACACATGACCAAATCAAACCGAACAACACCGAACTGGGCCCAAGCAAGTCGGTTTGGTATATGAAAGCACAGCCCAGCAGTTGAACAAGGAGATGGGAGTGTGTGCCCCATTTTGATCGAAAGTGTGTGTGTGTCACTCCTTGTTTCGTTCTACCTTTTCCACCTGCACAGGTTTTTCCATCATTGCAGGGGGCCACTCCACCCACCACCATTTTGCGGTAAAGTGCTAATTTGCTAATGAGTTCTGCTTTGTGCTCATCAAGCTGTTCCAATCCGGTGCTTTGCAGGGCTTTAACGGCTCACGTGGTAAACTGCTAATGCATCGGTGAACCAACAACTGACGTTTGCTCTTGCGATTCCTCTATCTAAGTGTGTTCTGCCGTGCCGTCCCATTGCTGTGCACTGTGTGATCCTGCTTGTCGGGCGCTGTACTCATAGACCCTGAAAGGGGACGTTCACTGACAGTTCGTGTTGCACTAACTCTCACTGACAATCGTTTCTGCTCGGGATTGGAGATTGCTGATCGAAAGCTGCAGGGCCCACTCATCGACCAACTGACGATTCCAATCTGTAATCAAGTTCCAATTTAAATCCACAGTATGCAGCTCACAGGTTGCCACAGTCCTCATTCCCCTTCTCAGGGGCTCTACCTGAATCTTGAGGTTACTCAGTTCAAAGACGCGTTGCTTCCATGGCATTGCGCTCAGTGTGCTTGCATTAAATTACTGCACGCAGCACTCCTTGTATCTTTCTTGTATGTGTCACTCCCTGTTTCCAAGCGATTCCAAGCGAACACATCACAGTCTCTGCTACTCGTTCTACCTTCTCCACCTGTACAGGTGTTCCATCATTGCAGGGGGCCACTCCACCCACGAGCCTGGTGGTGTTGTGCTGAAAACGTACTTGCGTTTGAACTAATTTCCCCTTGGTCCCTGCTTGTAACTACTACAAGACTTCATCCTTTGCACCGGCTTACACTAAAAATCTAACGTGGCAAAGTGCTAATGAGTTCTGTTCTGTGCTCATCAAGCTGTTCCAATCCGGTGCTTTGCAGGGCTTTAACGGCTCACGTGGTAAACTGCTAATGCATCGGTGAACCAACAACTGACGTTTGCTCTTGCAATTCCTCTATCTAAGTGTGTCTCCCAGGCAACTTCAAATCTGATGTTCATTTCCGGGAAGTTGGTGGACAGGATGTGCGTTGTTTTACCAAAAACTTTTTCTGTGCCATCGCAAGCAGAACTTGAACCCTGCATTGGGCACACCGTGCGCAATTCTCTTTCAGTGCATCGAGTGCCCATCTGATGTATTTTTTCTTTTTCCTGTACTAACATAGGGGACATCGGGCACCCCATTTCTCACTTCAATGAGTCCTTTTGCTGGGATGTTTTTCCAGGTTTTCGATATCCGGAGGGCATCAATGGAACACACAAGAACACCTGGCAAACTCACTTGCTAGGAAAAAAACATGGAAAAACAGTCCGACTTGACACTTAGACTGAGTCAATGTATCCCAGCCATCACCAAATCAACACCTGTCGGACTCCAACTACCTCCGTTTCCAAGGTGTTTGGGATGGCGTTGGAGGATCTAAATACCTTCTAAGGAAGTAGGAGAGTCCTTTAGGCAAATTCATGGCAGGCAGTGATCCTCCCCTTGTACGGCACCCTAGCCACACATGCGAGCCCTTGACCTCGACGAGTTGATGACCTCTTGGAATTTGCTGCCAATCGTTTCAGGATAGTTTCCGTTTCAGGATCTGTTAAACATACTTCAAGACCCAATGGATGGGAATGCAGAGCTGTCATATATGCCAGGTTCCATGTTCCAGGTTCAGGTGAGTTCTTGAGGGGACCTCCAAAACCGAACAAAAAACCTTCTTCTCAACCTTCAGCAGGCTGGATCGTGAGCAGCATATCGGACCGAAACCAACCTCAGCCGGACCCGAAAGTCTTGGAGAAACAAAAAGTAACAACATCCGGAAGATAACTTCTACTGTGTTACTGTATATGTTTCTGTTACATCCCACGCACTACCTCAAGGACACATATATTTCATTTGCTTGTGCTTATTTGTTTTCGTCCCGATTGGCTGAAAGACAGGACCCTCATGTCGACGTTTGTCGGAGAAGACACCAGTGCCAGTGATGCCAAGACACTGACACCAGTGTTCCCTTTTCGGATGATGCCAGGATGATACATGATGCAGAACTGGAGGATGAGGTCAGTGTTGTTTCTTTTGCTGACTTTCAGGTTTTCATCGAGCATTGCACCTCAGTGTGGGTCTATCTACTCATCCAACGCCACCCGCTCTCTGGGAGCTCCGAGCTCCTCGACCAACCGACGCCGAGGTGCTGGGCGAGCTGAGTGGGGGCTTCCCAGCGGACGTCCGGTGGGGGAAGCGGAAGAATTTGGACGAGGGCCCAGTAACAAGAAGCTGCCATCGCTATTAGGTTGGAGGCCATCGCTATTAGTAACAAGAAGCTAGCTATAGTACTCAATCCATGACGAGGGCCTAAGATGCAACCCCTGAGAGGCCTAAGAGGCCCTAAGCCAAAGACCCTCAGTGGAAGAACTGGTCTGTTCAACCAGAATCTCAATCGAGTTGTGTTTCGACCCAAGGTTTCTCAGCGCAGTTCCCTGTAACATCACCCGACCAGGCTGTGTTCTGTCAGCCCGAAGCATCCGGGCCTTCAAAATGAGAAGGGTTTTCGGTGTCGGATTCTTAAGGCAGGTGGGAATCTGTGGGAAAAGATGGAGTGGTCCAGTCCGGTCCGGTGGGTGAATTCCGTTCACGGAGTCAGTCTCATCGTCATGCCTCGTGGAGATCCGAGTGCTGGGAGCCCTACGACTTCCTACGACTTCCACCGGAAAAACCCGCCTCGAGCTGCCGAAGAAAGCCACGCGAAAAGCTCAGGCCACGCTCAAGGGGATCAAAGGAGCGGAACGCTCGATCTCCGAGGAGAGGTGAGGAAGGTGCCCATTGCAAAGAGGAAGGTGCCCGTGCAAAGAAGGACCACAAGTGGAAGAGGATCCAAACCAAGCAAACATCTAAAATCATCTATAAGCGGATGGAAGGGTGCAACCGTTCCAAAAACGCATCCAAACCAGTCGACCACTTGCACTGGACCACGTTCCAGCACCCCGTTCCAGTACCACTTTTACCAAACGAGCCAAAACAAAACCGTTCACAAAAGACACATCAACACATTGCACTCTCTCAAAGAGACACAAAAGTTATTTGACAAGAATCTGAAGAGCAGCTGAGACCAGAGAACGTCTTCACGAGTTCTCGACCCTTCGATACCCTTTGCTTCGCTTCGAACCTTGTCAAGCTCAGGTGGTGCCCGTTTGGAGGAAGGCCCACCCTCGCTGCATCTCCAGTGTGCGCGGCAAAGGCGGCAACGGGGGCTTTCCGTCGTGTTTGTCGCTGTGCAGATCGGAACGTGTGAGGCTGGCACCACTCATGTCTTTGTTTTGAAGAGGGCAGCAAATTCAGGGAACTGGTGTGTAACTTTATGTGTAACTGCCTTTCTTGAGAAGGGGACATTTCGGGCTGATGTGGGGAAAATTTGCTGGGATTTTTGGAGGGTCTGAGTACCCGACGTGACATAGCTTGAGGGAGTCTAGCTACCCACACAAAGAAAAAGGGAGCAACCTTAAGTATGACGCAAAAGACCTGGACACGCACCTTTACAGTGGTTTTAAAAGTACAGATGGCGCAATCCCCAAAAGGTGGTTTATATTATGGGGCCCATCTAAAGGACATCTTCGGGTGTCAGTGCCATCTACTCTTAAAATAGGTGACTAGACTTGCTGAGTGTGATCGGTTCCAAGTCAGTCGTCATTCGAGCACTTGGTGATTGCTTGGTAGAACACGTCGGATAGCCTCGAGCCTTTCAAACCAACGAATCTTTTCCTGTGCTTTCGCTGGCCTTTCTGGGCCAACGATTTGATGCTTCCAATGATTGAACCAGCATCCACATCAACCTCCTTGGAACTCCCAACTCCTTGGTCTCCATCCGTTCCGTTCCGCCCGCTGGTGGGTCAAAAAGGGCTTTTCTCGTTCTCACGGAGCAGCCGGCGGTCGTTCCGCTCAGCAGGCCTTTGCTTTGCAAAGCCTCCGTGCAACTGCGAGGCCGTTCGGCCGTTCGTTCGGGGCGGAGGACCGGCACGGAGGAAGACGATCCACCGGTGCCGGTGGATTTGAAAGGCACGTAGGTAGGCGGTCTGCGCCCCAGGCCAAGCATCCAACAAGCAGGAGCTGGGGATGGCAGTAGCTACAGGCAGCTGATGAGGATCGATCATGAATTACTTATTACTACTATATATTGTTATGATGATGGTCATCCAAGCAAGCATTGCAAAGACAATCCGAAGCGGGTTGTGTAGCAAGTGTGACAATCCGACGGGGTCGTTGTTTATGGAGGTTGGCATGACAGTATAAATGCAATATCACCCATTCTGGTGATGTTTGTTTGGGGAAAGAGACCGAGTTGACCGGGACGCTGGGGCAGCTGATCGCCAGTCCCAGGTACAAGAAGACAGCAGATTCTTTGCCAGGCAAGAAGCAACGTGGTGCAGCGGGACTGGGGAGATGGCAGGTCCCAGGGAAGCAGTAACAACAACAGAACAAGAACAAGAACAAGAACAACAACAACGACAACAACAACAACAACAACGACAGCAGCAACAACAACAGCAAGAACCACAAGAACCACAGGAACCACAAGGACCAAAAGGACCACAAGAACCACAACAACAACCAGAACCATAAGAACCACCAGAACCGCAAGAACAACAAGCACAACGAGAACCACAAGGACCACAACCATAATCACAACCAGCAACACTTAGCCTGTTTGCTTTAGGTCAAAAACAACTTCAACACCTCCAACCGCTTGCTTTGGTTAAAACGGTGCTTCTAATCAGCCTGTCAGGGTTTGTTAAAGGGTGACGGGCTAACAGCCAACACTCAATGTTAAGAGCGGCGACCACGACTACGACAGCCAAAACATACCCAACTGCAACATGTAAGCGGTACAAGCAATGACAAGCAGTTTGTTCTTGAAGTAATTTCAGTTAAGTAGATATTTGGTGAACTTATCAATTTAGGTTTCATAGTGGTACGGCTCCATGCTATATGTTTCAGGTTTTTGGCAACTCGATAGAGGCCTCTCATGTCACAGGAATCCAACGCCAAGTCGCAAGCTTCACGGCATAGTGTTTTCTTCCAGATGTTCAGGGCCTAAGCGCTGTTCTCATTCCGAAAACCCAAACACCAAGAGGTCAACGCGCCTTTCGCAAGAGATCAACGCGCCTCAGTCCTCCGTGCCTTGCTTTGACCTTTTCATGCCGCGGTATGGTCAGAACGAGACAGGGCCCCCTTGTGCTGAGGAAGAACAAGGGCCCCTTGTTGATAGTGTTCTGGAAGCCATTTGAAGCGGATTGAGTGTCTCGAGTGCAAAGCGGATTAGATTGAAACCACTATTCCAATCCATTAATGGCTGGGTTCAGGATGCTCTAACCAGTCTTGGAGACCCCCATGTTTCATACTGAACAGTGGCTTGGAGCTTCTGAATGCACACTGAACAGCCAGGTCAGTGCCAGCGAAAAAGAGAAAAGACCTGGCGGCGTGTTCGTGGAGAAACAGCGGTGTGGGACATGATCATTTATGATCAATTTGGTCTTGCAGAAGTAGGATGAAGAAGGTACCTGGACCCTCCTGTCGGGGTGTCCTGGCTGGACTACCCCACACTACCGGCCTAGGCTTCCAGACAGGGCACCCCGACAGGAGGGTCCTGGTCGAAAACATGTTTCAAAGGGTGGGTGGTTTGTTCGACCCTAAGTGAGCTGATCATCCGGATCTGGGGATCTGTCCCCCTCCAAGCTGGCACCCTGTCGTGTCAGCTGGTTATAGCTGCTGGTGTCCACCTCTTGTCGTGTCAGGGTCACCTCACCGGTGCTGGGTGCCTTCACATGATGTTCAACATGAAATGACAAACACAACCCAAAGGGTGGTTAAAACGACCCTCTACCAGCTACCATGTACTTCACCATTAAACCACCCCAACCACCCCATATCGGGGGTGCTGAGACAGGGAATTGGCAGCATAACGACAATCCAGCGGCAGAAACATGAGGGTGCCTAACAAAGATGCTGACTTGAAACCTTTTGACCTCCCGCACACAAGAAAAAGCAATACTGTCTTGAGATTGATACGTTAGAATAGCACCTTGGCTTCTTTGCAGCCTTTGTTTCTGCTCAGAAATGTGCCCCCGGCCAAGCATTTTTGAGATCACTCCTTCTTCTCCAACCAGGACCCGATGCACTGCTAGCCCACAGGAAGCAATGCGTACCGGGAAAGGCTAAGAAGCTCAACGGCTCAGCTTCTGCAACCTCCAACAAAGACACCAAAAACATCCAAAAAACGTCCTAGACCAAAAAACAAGTATACACTGTATAAGTGCAAGGGACTTCACAATAGCCTATCATAGCTACTATGCAGATGATGTGGACATGACACTTCAAGAACTCACCCGTTATTGGGCGTTCGTCCGACGTCCTCTTTGTTTGAGCTCGTGCATTCGCTGCTGAAAAAAGAGAACACGATGCCCTTGTCGAGGCGAGTGTCGCGAGTGTCTTTGTGTGGGAAAACATGTTGAGAAGTGGCTGCGGGTCTTTCAACCAGGCCCAGGTGTCAACCCACCGGATAGACGACCAGAATAGACGAATAGGTCCGAATAGACTCGGTCAACCTACCAGGGTGGGTGCGGGTCCCATGACCCACACCCGGGACGGGGGATTTCAGGTGCTGACGGTGCCCAGGGGATGCCACGGTATGTGGATCCATTGAACATGTTGGGTTGGTGGTTTCTGGTGTGTTTTAGGCTTCAACATCTCACCTGGGATGATTGTTTGCCAGGAATATCAGGACCGATACTTTGGAGGCAGTCCACCATGAAGCAGATGTTGGATCTGGCCGAAACAGTCTTGATCCAGAAGCCATTGGTAGCCAAGATGTCCCATACAAGCTGCAACCTCCAAGAGCTGTCACTGAGAAGGCCAGTATCAAAAGATGCAAAGTAACGGCAAAAGGCAACCGAAGCGATCCCATCGGCTGTATCGTGAGGGCTCGTTCCACAGCCGATGCCACAGGGAAGAGACAGATGATCAGTCAGTATGTAATCCGCTAGATATTGGGATTGGTCAAAGTCTAGAGCCCTAGACCGTGGAGCGACCGACCGACCACAGCCATTGCTGGTTGGTCAACCGGTGGGTATCCTGGTGCCAGCTCCCCACAGCCATTTGGAAATGCTATGTTGTTGCTGTCCATGTTCATCCTTTGTTATATGAATAAGGTATGATTATGAACTCCAGCCTCTACTCACTGTCAGACCTCACTTGGGCCGACTATGAGAAACGTCTTGGGCCAACCTCACTTGCTGGCTGAAACCGCTGCAGGCCCAAGTCTGATTCGGCTCTCACGAAGGCCGACCATGTCCGGAAAGCCTAGATTATCAGGAGATGGGAGGGTAGATGCTCCTGATAGGATAAGAAGTCTGGAGATGAGATTCATTCAATTATTTTTATTGATATGAAAACCTAGACCACTCTAAACACTTGAAGCTCAATTCCCAAGTGGTAGTGTACCTTGTTGATACGGGACTAAGAAATGGTTGTAGTTCGTCCGTGGGAAAAAAGAAAGGGGTTCTTTGCTTCCACGCGAGCGAAGCAGCGTCCTCCATGGTGTATTCGACTTGCAGGCCGTGCGCCCAAGCTGTCAAGCTTTTGTGTTTCTTTTGTTCTGGTGAAAATTCGCTGGTTTGGACCAAAAACCTAAACAGACCGCCATTGCGGCCCGTGGATGGCCATGCAGGGCCGTTGGTTTCAGACCATGAAATCAATCCGAAGACCAAGCAGGGGGTGCCATCCAGGGGCTCCATATGGCCCCATGCTTGTTGCAGGGAGGGCCAGCAACTTTGTTTTCGCACCAGCTACCGCCTTGGATGGATTGGACGATCCACCTGAGTCGGGCAGGGAGTGTTTCGCCCACAGACTGACGCAGCCCTTCCTTTAGCCTCGAGCTCGTCGGAGAGCTCCCGGAGATCCACCAGAAGGTTCTCTCAGCGGTCGTGACTGGCCGTTGGCCCGTTGGGAATAAAAGTTGCTCTCCAAGTCACAACATCCAAGTCATGGCCCATGTGACTAGATTCTTTTTTTGGTGGGGGGAATGTGCTTCCAAACAACCGGAAGGTCAACCACTACAACACACTGTTCCTTCTTTTGAAACTGACTGCCCCAAGTATCCAATCCTCCGGAATCTGCGATGTTTTTTCACTGGCTTCGAGTTTCTCTTCATCCCCTTGGTTCGCTTTTCCTACTCGCCAGCCTCGGTTCGGATTTGGCTCGGTCGATGCTTCAGGCGCGTCGGCCCAGCCTGAGTTGCAAGGATTTCAACAAGGCGCGCGCCGCACCACGGGGCGCGACGGAGGGCGCGCGCCGCACCTGCCCCGCGCGGAGACGCCTTCTGGATGGCCGGTCCCCGTGGGTTTCGTCGGCGGTCTACGGTACGGTCCACCGTGTTAGTCCAATCACAGGAATCCATCTAGTCAGGAATCTGAGGATCGGAGCGAACAAAGACTGCTTGTGAAAGGTCGGTCTTTAGCTTTGGACGTTGGAGCCTTTACACTCCCTTTCTCAAGTCCATGGCACTTGTTTGGTATTCGGATGTTTCACGTCATCCGAACTCGGGGCCCTTCGACTCCATCCACGGCCAGGCCCATTGAAATGGGAGTGTAAGTACTGTTATCGACTCCATGGGACCCGGCCTTCCTTAGATCTTAGATCCACGTGAAGCACTGCTTCCAAAAGTGAAACACACATAGACGAAACCGAGGGACCGTGGTTATTTGCATACAGAAGGAGTAAATGAGTAAACTGACTGACATCCACTGGGAGTAGATGGCACCTGAGAAGTAAGAGTAGAAGGCCCGTTGCCCAAGAGACTATTTTTGAGGATTCCGACCTCGTTTTGGTCTCATAGACCAGTGCAATCGCCGTATTTCGATTATTTTCGATTAATATATAAAAGTCTGGTCATGTCTGGTCTATTTTTGCTTGGAGGTTCAAGAGGTATGGACCTGCACTTCATGAGAACATGTCTCTTTGTTTTTTTATGTTGCTGGATTAATGTTCCTTCGGTGCAAATAGCAGCCCTTGGTCGCTTACTTTGATTGTGCCGGCCAAAACGCGGTCCACGTTCACCCACACAGCAGTAGTCCGCTGCCTTCGTTTCCAGTCGTCAGTAGTCTCCAGAAGCGATTTAGGATGTGCCGGCCTACGCGGCCTGACGTATGGCTGTTTCCAGTTACCTGTAGCCGCCAGATCTGATGGTATTTGTATGGGTTTGTCCGAACTTACCTGTAACAGTCATGTAAACAGATATCACTATTGTTGAACTGTTGGCTATTACTAACCGTCATCATCCACTGGCAACCAGGTATTATGATAGACCCAATTTGTATGTATTTGTATTACCAATTCCATTGCACTTCGGACTGGGTTGACCGACCATTTGGAGTACTTGTACTGTAACATTTCACAGTTAGTGTCAAATGTAGCTACTCGTACAGTATATTCCATATACATGGAGTGCTTTCCTATGGAAAAAGTGGCTCACCATACTGGGTGCAGTTGATTTTCAGGGATCAGTGATCACTGTCGCTTTTCCAGTTCCATCATATCGGACACATGGAATTTCTTTTCAGGAGTTCTGGAGTCGTTGAATTCAAGGTGCTTTTGGGAGATACTCCCAGTCCCTCAATGTCCCTCCTCGCTCGTCTAAAGAAGAACCGTAGCGCAGGACCGCACCGCAGCGCGAGATCTCAAGGGCCGCAGCAGCCGGCTGGCAGCCTTGAAGGCGCGGGGACGGCGGGGACGGATGTGTCACTGGGACGGATTTGTTGGCACGAAGGTGTCATGCTGGAGATGTCTGGGAATCCCTGCGATCTGCGATCTTCGTAGTACGGGAGGCTTCACATGATTGGACCCTCGTGCATCAGGCTTGGTGATTTAAGCTCGCGCACGTACGGACGAGCTTGAGCGAGCTGTCCGGTGTGGGAGCGCCAGCTCTGTCTGGGAACACACGGACCCGACACCACACGCCATTGGAGAGAATGTCATGAATACAGTGAATACAGGCCAGAAAGCATGCCAGTTAGAATCAGGAAGGATGTCAGAATATGTCAGAATACATGCCGGATAGAGTTCCCTCAATAGATGCCAGATAGAGAGCCAGGAAGGATGCCGGAATAGATGCCAGAAAGAATGTCAATTAGAGCGCCATCACATACAGCAGAAAGGGTGTCAGAAGAATGTCAGAGTAGCTATCAGAATACATGCCAGAACACATCTCAGAACTAATGTCGGAACACTTTTCCAACGATTGTCACAACAGATTTCAGAGAACATGGAAGAGCACATCTCAGAACACTTGTTGGAACACTTGTCAGACATATCCGACCAAATGTAGGAACAGTCGTCGGTCACATGTCAGAACTGATGTGAGAGAACTGATTACATATCAGATCTACATGCCAGAACACATATCACAGCATAACTATGTTGGACATGTTTGGAACACTTGTCAGACATAATACCAGAAAAAAATGTCAGACCAGGTGACAGGTGACAAAACACGTGTCAGACTGTCAGACCACATATCAATGCAAATGTCGGAGCATATGTCGGGTTGGTGGCAGAAGAAGTGCAAGA